CTGGCTGAAAAGGGGAAATGAAAGACGTCAGAGCAGAAATACAGGCTCCTGGGCCGAGGTCCGAACCACAACAGCGGCACTGTGGGGCGCTGTGCTTCTCATGGCTAGCCTGCTCTCCTGACAGGGAAGAGCTCCCGCTCAGGCCAGTGCACAGGAGCAAAGGGTGTCAGAGCAAAGGGTCTCTGCACGAGTGACAGTGAGTGAATGGGGGACCCAAACTCCATCGCCCACTCAGATGGCTCTCGTGGCTAGTGACACCAGATCATATGCAGTATGGCCGTTATGCCGCGTACTGGCCCTCGGCACAGGGGTGAATTGCACCCCAAAGGGATGCGTCCTCAGAAGCAGGGGTGATCACACTATTTACCTAACTTCAAACCCACCCAATCACTGCATGACCGAACCGAACGTTCAACTCGAACTTTAACATTAGAGGATTCGTCCAGGACACGCTCATAGAGCACTCGGGGGAGCAGGGAAATGGGAGCAGAGAAGGGAGAAGAGGACAATCCACAGGGTGAAAAACAGAGCTGAGACTGGAGAGAATTTGGGGCAGGGACTGTCTCTATTTGTACAGCACCTTGCACAACTGGGGTCCATGACTAGGGCTCCTACACGAACAATAATAATAATAAATGCACCGAGCAGCTATTAATCAAGAGCAGAAAGAGGAGAAAGAAATAGTCTAATAAAAATAAATCTATGTTGGGCCTGGCTCTCCTTTCATTTATACTGGTGTAAATCAGAAGTAACTCCACTGAAGTCAATGGAGAGAGACAGATCAGAGTCAGACCTACAGCATATAAGGCTCCATTTATGCCAGCCTGGCTTTATACAGGGGAATTGGGGTCTTCTGTCCTCAACCCACCAAACAGGTTGTTGTCCAGTAGCTAGAAAAACGTGTGATTTTCAAATAGCTGATTGACCAAAACCCACCAGCCCACCGGGACTCTTGTGTCGACCCAACCTGTGGGCTCAGGAGTGTGTTTGGAGAGGGAGGGAGGGACTTACCCAGTGTGTCCCAGGTATGTGGCGTGGTGCAGAGGAGCTCGGCCCCGGATATCTCTTTGGTTAACATCTGCTCCGTTCTGGAGTAAGAATTCGCAGGCTATCAAGGAGCCCTGGTTAGAAGAGGGAGAGAGTTTTGTTGGGTCCCGTTGCACTGCTGGATTGCGGATAAAAGCCCAGGCTGCTCCGGGGAAGAGTCAATCCCATCCCGGGGCTGCCCCACCAATGTCAGGCATAGCAAGAAAGGGAAAACCCCAGAATAATCCATTACAATCGGAGAGAGAGACACACAAGAATCAATGTCCCCAAAGCAGCCCCAGAAGGGTCTCCCTCCTTGTCTAAGCAGGCCAGACTCTCTGCATCCTCATCTGATCCCTTCCCCAAGAAGGAAAAGCTTCATTTCAGAGGGGGAGTTTCTAATTAGAAACAGCCAGCACTGGGGTGGGTACCAGGTGACGTGCACACGGGTGATGTGCAGGCCTCCCTCTGCCAATGCACCTTGATCTGGACTTCTGCACCCCCCTGCTATCCCAGTGCTGGCCCTCACCTGCCACTCTGCCAATGCACCTGAGTCCTGGGCTGCAGCACCCGCTTTGATTCCAGTCCCAGCACTAGCCGCTTTGCAGTGTGAACAAACAGCCTCTAATGCCACCAAACGAGGCACTTGGCATCTGAGACCGATTTAAACATAGGACTCTAGGGCATTAACCAGCTGTATTATCAGTTTTGCTGAACCAGCCCCTCAGCTTCCCCCAGCGTCTGCGTAGTCAGTGCTGCCAATCCTACCTACCCCCATCACAGCTTGAATCAGAGGAGTTTTGTTTTCATCTTCGTCATTCACCCAGTTGACCTCAGCCCCATGTGCCAGAGCCTCTGCCATGACAGGCAAGTTCCTGGCCTGTGCTGCCTTGTAAATCAGCAGGCCGGGGTGCAGCTCCCGCAGGTCCTCCAGGTCCGAGGCCTCCTGCTCTATCTCCGCCTCGCCGCTGGACTCCTCCGACACTTCGCACTCTGGTGGGGGGCAGGGAGGGGACGGAGAGAGAGGAGGGATGAGCCAGCGGCACAGACACCATGTTGAGCTTTGCCAAGGGGGCTCCCACTTTCCCATTTCTTATGCTCCCTCCTGGCCTTTTAGTGCCATGTTTACTGATGGGGCTCATGCCCCAAGCGCACTGGGTGAAGGGATGATCTCTTCCCCTCCTGGGGACCCCTGGCAGGAATGGAGCAACTGCCCCCACCAGGGAAGAACCTGGGCAAGGCGTGGGCAACTCTTTGGAGAACCTCCGGGAGGACTAGGGGGTGACATCTTCCCTCTCTAGAGAGCCCGGGCATACAGGGTGGGAACTGCTCCTTGCTCTGGGGCTCAGGGCACGACACACGGGGCCACTCCCCTTGGCCACGCTGTGGGGAGATTACCATGCCCCTGGGGAGCTGACGGCCCCTCGGGGATTGTTATGGAGGTGTGTTGCTTGGCGAACCCGTTCACGCTAGTGCCCACACCCCAACGTTCTGGTCAGGCATCCCTTAGCACGATGCGATGCGGCGTGTGCCGACGAGGCGACGCTGAGGCCTGTCTGCAATGGCGCCGGGCCTGCTGCATCACTATCGCTGGCTGCGTGTCACACTCACCTTCCTCCGTGACGCTGTCCACCACCGAGCCGAACACCAGGACGTCGGTGCTTCCGTCCGTGCTGCCGCCCAGCCCGCTGTCGCTACTCAGACCTGCGGGGCCAACAGAAGACAAACCAAGATCGTTTTAATATGAGGGCAAACTGCAAAGCCTGCTCGTGGTGTAGCAGGGCACCCATCTCCCCGGGCTGCCCTGCGTTCACGGAACGCTCCAGCCTTCTCCGTTGCATCTCCTTCAGGCAGGAGCCCCAGGAGGGGGGCCTGGAGGCTGTGAGGAGAATGGCAGGCAAGGAGCAGCAGCAGAGAGCGCTTTACAGCAGGACCTGCGGTGTCAGAAGCCAATAATGACAATGCTCTGCTTTTACCCTTAGCTGCCCCAGCGTCGCCCTCCTGCGTGCTTTCCCACCACCCTGCAGGAGTCACTGGCATGTGCTGACCCGTCACTGCCTGTGGTGGGTTCATTGGCCAGCTCCCCAGGCCGTTAGTTTATATTGTGCTTCACATCTGCCAGGAGCCGCCCCTCCGCTAATGAACCCCTTGGGCTGCTAAATATCCCAGGGTGGGCAAACACGTCACAGAAACTGAGGTGCAACGAGATGAAGCGACTTGACCAAGGACACACAGCACCTCCATGGAAGAGCCCTTTTGCACCCTGCCCTCACTTCTGCAGAGATGGCAGCTGAGAAAATGCCAAGGGGGCAACCACCGTAGGCGGGAAGAAAGGTCTCCAAAGGGATGCTGCCCCCACCAGGTGCCACAAGTCCTCCTGTTCTTTTTATGTTTGTAGTAAGTGCTCTCCTTCCCTCCTGGAAAGGGTAGAACCTTCCGCTCCAGGTCCCACTGGAGTTACAGCTGCAGCCAAACCAAAGGAGAACCTTCCAGCAACATAGGAACCCGCCAGACTGGATCAGATCTGAGGCCCATCTAATCCAGCGGCCAGCACCAGAGGCAGCAGAGGGAGGTGTAAAACAGATGTGGGATAATCTGCCCCTCACATTCGGTCTCATCCTCATTGCAAATAATCCCTGAAATATGAGGTTTAATATCCCATCCAAAAATTTGTTGTCATTAATTATAACTCTGGATAGTCTTGATAGACACAAAACCACCCCATCCCTTTGCGAATCGCTAGCAGAATGGGATGGTCCCGTGGAGATATGGGCCCAAACCAAAATCTCCAGGGCTTGGATATACCTGAATTTAGGATCCAGATCCAAATCAAGATGCAAACTGGGCAACTTGGGCCCATCGTGACTCCCGATGATAGAAGTCAGTTACTTCCACTGAGTTAACCCACAACCTCTCACTTCAGGATTTGGTGGTTGGAACAACTGTTTAAAGATGCAAACAGGACACAGAGACCTCTCAGTGATGTCCTGTTGCTGGCTTGGCTTCCCTTTAAATGCAACTGCATAAGCAATTTTTCATTCTGAATAAAGAATTGGCCAGTTTAAAAGCAGGCTTCTGATCTTGCAATTACCTTTCAATAGAAAATTATACTAAGCCTTGGCCGTGTAACCAATAAAAAACAATTGCAAGAAAAATAAAGAGAAAAATCAACCACCGTTAATTTATAAATGCAGTCATTTTGTGTTAAACATTTTGTGCCAGCTGTTGACCTGTTACATCAGTGTAAAACCAATGATGTAAGTGGAATCACTCCAAACTTAAACTGGGGTAACGGAACAGAATCTAGCCCAAATCCGTAGACATCAGGCACTTTATTCTTCGTCAGTGCTCTTGATATGCCACTGGGAAATTAGTAATAAATCGCATTTAAGAGTGACACATATATTTTTCATGGAGAGATGAACAATTTTGTCAAGCGTTTCTGTTTAGTATGTACAGCAGAAGAGTAAGGTTTGATTTACTTGTTTAACATAAAGAACAAGTATTTACAGGGGTGGCTGATTGATTGTCAATCCACTGTCACTTTCTTGTACACTAATGGTGGAAGGCTGTAAGAGCTGCTAAGCGCTTCCCACAGGGCACTTTGCATCTTGCAGGATCAACTCCCATGTCCTTTTCCTGTATAAAAAATGATGTACTCATAAAAGTGATGGTGTAATAGCATCATCCAGAGCCAGGAACGACAGGGGCAAGATCTTGCCATGACACACACACAAATATTCCAGTGCTGGCGCTCCCCTGAGCACAGGGTGCCAGTTAGGTTGAATAGTGCTGCATGGCAGATTTGTTATAGGGACAATGCACCCTTAGACACAAGAGCGAGAACATCAGATTCATTTCACTTGTGACCTTGAAGCAGGATTTGAGTCCTAGTTGTCAGAGGTGCCCAAAGGCCTGGGAACTCCTGGGCCATAACTACAGCAGGGAGGGAAATTCTTAGCATATAGTTTATTTGGTGAATTTTGCTTCTTTTTCTTTTTTTTCCAAACTGTCCCTGAATAGGCCCCAAGTTTCTCAAATTTCTTCATTATTCAAAATAACTTCTTGAAAAATGTCAGTGACTAATCCTTGGTCCCTGGATTGCTTTGGATTAGTTCCCTGCAGGTAATGGATATCCAAAAGGCAAACTGTTTGGATTGGATTCGGTCCCAGAGGCTGTTTCTGTCTCTTTACTCTTTGGATCAGGTCTCCAGTGTAAGAATTAAAATGTCACCTTGTGTGAATATTCTGTAATGTGTCATTTTCGATGTGCTGCTTTGACAAATGTTCCTGCCAGCAAACTCCTCGCCGTGTTTTGTAGAAAGCGAACGCAAAAGAGAAGCGAATGCAGCCATCCTAGGCTAGTTCGTTAAAAATGTGAACCAATATTTGAGGGAAACTGTTTACAGTATTCGCCAGCTCTGGCCAATAAAAGCCCAGGTTCTGCAATCAGATACACACCTGTGCCCGTGTGCAATCTCTTTGGCTTCAGCAGGATTCTGGATATGTGCCGGGGCAGAGGCCTGCCTCCGTAGATATGAGTGGGGGGTTAGGACCATGTGCACTAAGGGGTGGACTTCGTTCTCAATAACATCAGTGCAAATAAAGTGCAACTCCAATGAGGACAATGGAATTACTCCAGATTTACCCCAACGGAGTGAGCGGCCTATGGCATGTCCACAGACTCTGCCAAAGCACTCACCTGACTCGGCTCCCCCGGAAGCCAGTGGTAAAACTCCCATTGCCTTCAACGGGAGCAATGTTAGGACAACGCTGAGTGCTTTGGAAGAGACCAGCGCTAACCATGCTGGTAAAAGAATCGTTTCAGTTTAGCTAAAAATTCTGAATCCAGGAGTTCTCTGAAAAGTAGCTTTTCCTGCTAGCTGCTCTGGCATCTTTAAAGCCCGGACTCAGCAAAGCACTAAAGCTGGTGCTTAACTGATGTCAGTGAGACTTAACGTGTACTTTAAATTAAGCGTGTGCTCTGCTGAATCAGAGCCTAAAAAACTTCCGCTTTTTGTCTTAGTAGAATGTCTACCTATCTATCTCTGATCTTCCTAAGGTATCTATCACAGTGCTATCTGAGTTCCAGTGATGTGATTGCGAAAAATACATCTAAGTTTTGGTTGGAACAAGTCATATCTTTGGGGATCTTTTGCTGCTAGCTGCTATGGTGTCACCTTACCTCCGTCCAGGAGGAACGGCATACCGCTCCCACCGGGACCAATGCCACTCCAGGGGCCAGCTGCCAGCGGGTGCTGCATAGAGATGTAGCTGGCACCTAAGAGGAAGGTGGACGGAATGTGAGGGGAGTTAATCGTCACAAACACACACAAAAAAGTTAGCAGTAAGACTTGCTAAAAAAAAAAAAAAGAAAAGAAACAGCTGGTGAAATGCACAGGTTGGGGGTAAAGAGCGCGAAAAAAATCCCCTTCACCAAAATACAAACGCCTGGGATTGACTGGAAAGAGATTTAAAAAAACCACCAGTGGAATAAAAAGGGCAGTGGGTCAGGGTTTGTGCAAGTAACTCCCCATCACTCTCTTGAAACATTTCCCCCAGTGTGTGTGTGATTTGGTCACTTCTCCGGTGAGACAGATACCTTGCCGTTGGTCGGGTGCAATGCACATGCCCTAGAAGAGGTGGGAGGCAAAGACGTGCCAAGAGGAGAGCTGTGTTATTTGTACTTACTGCGGGGTCCTGAGCCGGCGCCGGTGTCAAAGTACGAGAAGAGGGAATCCAGCTCGTCGGGGCAGAAGAGAGAGTCCCGCCGGAATTTCCTCTCCAGAGTGGCAGCTGTTTGCAAGGAGGGATTTTTAAATATGGCGGAGGAAAAATACAATCCCATGGTCACATTTGTACAAGCTGAGCCTGCACGTCGAGCGTGCTTCAGAAGTGTGCAAATCTATACAGATAATAAACAGGGGGCATGGAAGAGGTGGTAAAATCACCACCATCCCATGACATTTTGGGCAGTTGATAACCCTAGGACTGTATTCTGGGCCAGCTGAGTAAAAACAATAAAGGAGGCTTGAACCTAATGAATGAACAGAAAGTTGTGGTATAAAGGAAGCAGAAAAGGGGCCTGCTGGTCACCTCAGTGCAATGGTCCCATCCTCTACTATTAAGAAGGTATGTTAGGAAGATACAGCTTGTTAGGAAATTCCATGGGTAACCTGTGCAAAGGACATGCTTGTGCAGTAGCATTAGGTCTTATAGCTTCTGCAGGCTGCAGCCACTAGGGGGAGACAGGAGCACAGACACTTTATCAGATCTACCTACAGTAGAGGAATAAATCTGTTCGTCTTTAAGGTGCCACCAGACTCCTTGTTTTTTTACAGTAGAGGATGGCGTTGTGCCCACACACACACACACACACACACATACACACACACACACACACACACACACACGACGGGTAGGAAC